TGGACATTATTTTCTGGGACTGTATTTTTCTATATAATAGCCATTACTCTAAATTTTTATAGTGAGCATATAGTTTTTTAAAACTAAAGACAAAGAAAGAATACGCAGAAGAAAATTAAATTAATCCATAATATTACCATTTACTATAGGATATTACTTTTAATCTTTCTTATATATTTTCTAAATTGTGATAAGAGAGATTATGCAGTTTTTTTATCCTACTTTCATTTAACATTACACGGTTTTCTAGTTTATTATATATTCTTTGCAAAGTTTTTTAAAAATTATATTTATTTGAATGAAAAGAGCATACTTAATAAAATAATTATTTAATAAATAAAATAATTATTGAATAAAATAATTATTTTAATTATTTCTATATTTTAGGAAACTAAGACATACCCAGTTTTTTCATATTGTCACAAACAATACTTTGATGAATATCATTTCTTTTAATCTGATTATTTACTCAGGCTTATTGTTTCTAGATCAAAAGGGCAGGGATGTCTTAAAATCACAACACGTATCTGTTGCCAAATTACTTTCCCAATTGTGCATGCATAGGCAAAACACACGCTTATACTTAAGCCTTTTTATTATCAAGTCAAGAATAGAACAATAATTTCTGCTTCTATATTCAAAGAGATTTATGCACCCTTCTAGTAATATTTCCCTCTTTCTTTCCCTCTTGTCCTCCCTCTGCCCATCACAAAAAGAGATGATGTATATTCTAATTTTTCTTTCTTAGATTTTTTGTTCATTTTATTTTATAATCTTTTTACTTTTTTAGGCATCTGTTTGGCTGAATTAACCTCTTTTGAAGTCTCTTTTTATATTGTGACTTCCATATTTTTTATTCATTGCTCATGTACATAGGTATTGTATATGTGCATATATACATATACATGCATATGTACATATATTTTCCTGGCACATGGACACCTTTCATTTATACACATACGTATCTTTAAGTTTTTAATGAAAAGATGTAGGTCCTGTATTTTATGAATTCATGAATGCCTGAAAATGTCTTTCTGTTGCTTTGTTACATAGGCGCTACTTAATTGGGAATAATATTTTATGAATTGTCTATAAACTAATTTCAATGGGCGTTTGGGATAGCTGGAAACTATGGAGCTAATGTGATTTTGCCCCTTCTGGGTTATAAGCATTCAAACAGGTCCCTGTTTTGTTTTTCACTACTTTTATTCAATTTAATTCAAATTATTTTTATTCACTATTTTATTCTTGTGCCATTAGACATGTGTATTGTCTTCCAGTAACTCTACCTGGAAAGTGATGAGTCCTTTTGTTGTGCAAAAGTCATGTCCTTTTTCTTTTCTATGCTGAAATATATCTTCATCCTTTTGTTTGTTGCTTGCATTCCAAATATTATGGAGTACTCAAATGCTATCATTGTTTGTCAAGCCGATATTTTCTGGCCTTTTTAATCGATCATGTCTCCATTCATTCTCATTCTTACTCTTTATTTCTTAATTTAGTTACAGATTAAGTTTATCTTCCTCAGGACTATATGTGTATTTTCATTGTCAGTTCTACTATTGTATCTAAGGTGGGTTTTGTAATTCTAAGAAAATCAGTAGAATAGGATGTTCATCAACTTAGTAACTATAGTTTAATAATGTCTTTGTGCTTTCATATCTTTATGTAAATAATTTTGAGACTCACACCCGTTTTTCTGATTAAGGATCATGTTCTCTGTCTTGTCCTACAGTACTTGTTCATGGGTTCCATGTTGCATTTTTTCAGTTTACTCTGAAGAAATCTATCTGGACTTTTTCTTTCTGCCTTGCTGGGGTACTGGAGTCTCTGTACAGTAACCTCCTGTATGTACCTGCTCCCAAAGCTGCTCTAGCCAGTGTGCCTGTTGCATTTTACTTACGGCGACCGTAGTTCCTCTTAAATACTGCCAGCCCCTCTGCTACCACTCTCCATTTTTTTCTTGGAGTTAATCTCCACAGGGATCCACAAAATTCCCCCTGGGAGTAATCCTGTTTTATAATCCTGTGATAGTGTTTTCACATGAGGTAACTAACTTTTCCAGTTCAGGGTCTAGAAACTATACAGGTATGAAGGAACCTCCTATGTTCTTTCAGGTTGAGCTAAAACAATTTCACTTAACAAAAAATGCATGTAAGAGTCATGTCTTTTTTTTCCAATACATTTGTGTTAGCCTTATATTGAGGTAATATCTAAATAATTAAGTAAAATGTATTGAATGTTGGAAGTAAGAATGCCATAGAGAAAAAATAAAGTAGAAAAGAGGGATGAAGAATACATAATCTTAGCTTCCCATTGTTAAGTGGTTTAAGATTTGTCATCATAGTTATTTATATGGAAAATAGGGTAAAGCTAGTTTCATGGAAGCAGCTAGTATTTTTACTTGAAATAGCTTTTAAATCACAAGTCAGTGACAACGACATTCAACGATTAGAGGTCAGTATTATCAATCTCTGCCTAACTGCCTATTCTAATATTTAGTATGTATAACCTAAGAACTATACACTTAAAAATCTTGAAATTTGGCAATAGAAAAGGAAATGAATAATGTCTTCACCTTGTAAAGTGATCTTCCTTTTGAAAGAGGCATAGAATGCTCTGAAAAAGGCCATGCTTACTATCTTGGCAGCCATGATGGTATGTACGTACTTAAATTTCTTGTTTAACACAACACCTCCATAAATGAAGCATTATTTATCCCTCTGACAAAGATGAAGAAACTACGCCTTAGAGAGATTCAATAATATGACCAGGAAAACATAGCTAGTAAGTATCGAAACCAGGATTTGAACCTAAGTCTCTTTGATACTAAAGTCATATTTGTCATCATTACACCTTTCAGCTTCAATCTCTGACCTGAGATAATCAGAATGAACAAAATGGCAAATCCATTGGTTTTTATTCAAACTGCTTTCTAAGGCTTGCACATGATTTGGTCCTGCCTATCTCTCTAGCTTCATTTTAGACCCAGTATCCCTGAGTCCCTGTTCCTAGCACCCACTGGCTTCCTTCTGTTCCCCCAACAGCACATTTTGGGGCCTTTGCGTATAGTATTTTCTCTGCCTGCAGTGTCTTGCTCCCTTTTCTCTATATGGTTTCCTTCTCCTCTTCCAAGTCTTAGAGCGAATATCACTTGCTTAGAGTCCTCTTCCGGAGACTTCACTCAACATAGCTGCTCCTTTCAAAGCCTTTCCTATCACCTGTTTATTTCCTTCATAGCATGTAACCCATGTGAAACCAATCTGTTCATTTATTTAGTATGCCCCCTTTGATAGACTGTAAACTCCTTGAGGGCAGTGGCTTTCCCTCTCTTGGTTATTGCCATATCTGCAGCACTTAGAATCGTTCTTGGCATATAACAGATGTTTAAAAATAGTTGTTAAATGAAGATAAAATGAATAACTTTAACATCTGTACATTTATTTCTACTTGGGAAAATTGTATTTAATTTTTTCTTTTTTTGGCTGAACATGTTTGAGAATTCATGTGTTTGATAGTGTCAAGTGTTCTAAATCATGGTTTAGCCTTAATCAGGACAATTAAAAGCATAACCACATATGTTGCAGCTTTCTGCAGTAGCGGAGATTTCTGTTTTGTTTTTAACATTCCCAGTTGTCTTGTTTAAATAACTCACTTCAGTAGTCACCTGAAAATAAATGTTTATTCAATAAGCATAAAACTTCTTAGCTAATTATCTATAACAGATTTACAGTATCTTAGAATCAAAACAGTTTTTTTAGCTAGACAAGGACTTAGTATACCCTCTACTCTAATGAACATTTTGGAAAGATAAAAAGGCTTTTCAAGGCCACATGGCTAGATCCAGGATCAAAAGAAACTCAAGACTGGGCCCTTTCCATTATATAGGATCAACTCATATCTTTCTCCTAGCCCCTCACCTTCTAGTGAATATTCCTATAAGAGAAATACATTATGTATAGTATTTAATAAGAAACCAAAATTTCTGAAAGAAAAATATCACTGCCAGTCAAAGATCCCAGTTTATTTCAAATCTATGGAAATGGAACAGAAGCTTTCACAGGTGCCTTAACATTGAAATCATTGCATACTGTTTCATCAAAGGCAGCTATAATGTAGAAGCAGAGGTCTGCAGGCTAGATATCTAAACAGAAAGGGGGGAAAAAACCAGATTCAGAGCAAAACAATACAAAAGAGTTTGTGTGTTGTATTTGCTCCAGGTTAGCAATTGAACACCATTGCATATGAGCCCCCTATGCAGAAATCATAAGTTAAATCCATTGTGATAACCCATGGATTTTTTTGCTTACTTTCATGTGACACATGAATTCTTTATTTTTTCAGATATGTTCATGAAAATAGTTTGATTTAGAGAAATAAATTTACATGTACATTTATATAGAGCAGAATACACCGTACCTTTCATGTCTTTTTAGAAGCTAAAGATTTATGTTTAAGAATAAAAAAACACAACTATGCTGTTTTGTGTATATATGGAGTTGAAGAAAAGTGGACATGCCCATTAGTGTATACAAGGGCTCAATGAATATGAGGATATGTTAGATTTATATAAAACATTATGTATAGTTTTAAAACATTAGTTTTTGCTGGAATGGACTGTCATAAGGCCAGTAAAATCAAGAACTGTTTTGTTTATTTTATTTTTTTATGATTGGCAGCAACATTTACATGCAGTAGAACACAGACCCCAGTTTAGGTGACTATGAAGTTCAGGCCTTTTTGTCTGTGAATAAGAGGATTATAATGCTGAATCAGCATAACTCCAGTTCTCTTCTGTGATTTGTTTGCAAAACTATCATAGAATATGAGAAAAATATTATTTACATATGATTGTAAGTCATAGAAGCAGAGAATCCTAAAACCAGAAGGGAACTAGGGACTATCTTGTCAAAAATACTCCTTGTAGAGATAAGGACAGAGCCTTAGGATGATGGGGACTGTTGTCGTGAGGTTTCATCTGTCTTTGTCTGCTCGTGCAGGAATACATGGACTCCAATAAATACATTGAGCATCTGCTGACTCAGCTTGAGGAGCAACACAGGAGTCTCTGGAGGTGAGTTCAACTAATGGTCTTATTTGTTTGCTCAGGTAACATCCTCTGTAGCTTTGCTGATCTGAAATATTTCAGGCAGACTACAGGGTATATACTAAGTCCATGTCTAGCTAAAAATTGTTAGATTCTGAGACACTATTGTCTTGGAATAGCACAGTTGTAATGTATAAGCTAGAGCCCAAATTCTTTGATCCTTTCTTGCTTCAAGATATATTTGTTTTTCTCTAGTTAAAAAGTAAAACATTGCTGCTTAAAAGTCCTACTTCTCTTCATATTAAAGGGGAATATTTTAATAATGCCATTGAACAGTTATCCAATATTTAGTTTTTATTCTACATGGAGGGTTCTGACACTAGGTAAGGAAAGTGTCTGCGAATATTTCTGCATGTATATTGGAAATGGTAGGTTAATATCACAGAAGTCATATTCCCAAGTTATTCATTCCTTGGGGACTCTTAGGAATTGAGAGTAGCAAAGATGGTTGTAATATTATTATTTAGCTTTTTGGGGACATGTTGTTATGTTTTTTATAGGTGCTACTATAGAACTTGAATTACTTTTTCGAAGCTCCTGCAGCTCTTACTTTTTAAAATAAATACGCTGGTGCTTAATTGCATGATGCCTCACATTGTACCAAAATTGTTTCATTAAGTACATTGGTCTCACCAACCGTCAATAAGCTCCTAAAGTCTTTCCATCTATCTTTGTTCAACTCACCAACCCTCAGCAAGCCCCTAAAGGCTTTTCTTTCTCCCCCTCCTCTTCCCCTTTCCCTTTTCTTTCCCTATTTTTTTTTTTTTTCTGAGACAGAGTTTCACTCTAAAAGCTTTTTTTTTTTTTTTTTTTTTTTTTTTTTTTTTTTTTTCTGAGACAGAATTACACTCTTGTTGCCCAGGCTGGAGTGCAATGACACGATCTTGACTCACCACAACCTACTCCTCCCGGGTTCAAGTGATTCTCCTGCCTTAGCCTCCCATATAGCTAGGATTACAGGTGCCTGCCACCATGCCTGACTAATTTTTTTGTATTTTTGGTGGAGATGAGGTATCACCATGTTTGCCAGGCTGGTCTAGAACTCCTGACCTCAGGTAATCCGCCTGCCTCACCCTCCCAAAGTCCTAAGATTACATGTGGGAGCCACTGCGTCTGGCCCCATTATTTCCTTTTATCTCCTTGCAGCATGGGGGAGAGTGCTCTCTCTGTACACAGAGATGGCAGGTAAATATTTACTAACGCTCTTGTTGCCTTGCTAGACCTCATCCAAATCCATCACCACAGGGTTCTTTACCAGGCTGGGTTGCCTCTTCTTGTTGTACCAATGTAAAAATTCTAATAGCTTTGAAATTTCTCTTCTTTCAGGAGTTCTAGATCTTGGGTAAAGTGCTATATATTTTAATTTATGTTATTATATTCATATTTCTACTGGAGGACAGACCTCTGATGATAGTAATAGAAAATATTCTATTTCTATACATCAAAAAACTGCTGGTAGGATATAATAAAAGTTCAATGAAGTCTGCTTGACATTAATGGACAACCAGTTAATTTTATGTAATCGATGCAATATTTGCTAGATTTGTTTCTGAGAACTATAAACTGGCTCTGATAGTTTTCTCTTATGAACCAATATATTAATAAAATCAACAATAATATATGTATGGTTGTATCCTTTTCATTATATCTTCCATAGATCTCTTGGAAAGTATATTTTTAAAACTGTATAACTGATATAATGTTTAATTTCAACTATTTCTATAGAATATTTTATTTTTCCCACCTTCCAAAAGAAAAATTCACAAAAAATAATGAATACCATCTGGTGAAAGAAATTTAGAGTTTAATTTTTTTAGTAAGTGTATCTTACATGCATTATTTTAGATGAATATGATTTCATGAGCTCTTTGAACCAAAACAGCCTTGCATGGAAAGGGCTATTTTGCATAGTTTCTTGAGGTAGCTAATGAAAACCTAGGTCTTCTCAGATATGATTAAATTAAAATTCCATTTCAGGCATGAAGTTAACATAAAGTTAGATCTTAGAATTTGTGTACAGTTACTTTCATTTTACTTCAGAAATGAAATTATTACTGCTGAGGAAGCAAAGCCTTATATATAGTGTCAGAGGATCTAATAAAAATGCTCCATTTACATAACAATAGAAGGCAGTAATGACACTTGGGATAGTCAGAATAATTCCAGTGAGAAGATGGAAATGGGTGGTATTGAAAGAATGAACCCCAATAATAGCAGATTTATATACTATTTATTGAATCATGAAATTACTTTTTATTATATTTTTACATACAGATCCTGACTTCACTGACTTAAAGTGACAGGCTTTATGATGGTTATTACAATATCATAACAACAACTGTAGCCAAATTGTTTTTAGAAAAGAATATGTGAATGACAGTGAACAGTGTAGGAAATCCTTTCTGGTTATGATTAAATTTCTAAATGCTTATTCATAAGTTAGAATAGAATCTATGATATACAGAGGATCATGGGAATCGCATGTCATGTACGCAAGCACAACCAGATTGCCTGAAGTTAAACAAATGCTCCCATAAATCAGTATAAGCTCATTCTCTGATTTTATATGCCTTTGATTTGTGGCTGCTACAATTATCATGGAATCGGCAATTTGTCATTGTTGCTAATGTTAACTGATGGCCTTCCATTTCTACTTGAGCTAACTTATAACTTAGAGACAAGTTCTGAATATCTAGATCTTCCAATAATAATTGTGGTCAGGATTAATTTATGGCTACCACCTGTGAGGACTGATCAAAAGCATGGTTGAAACAAGGCATACTCTTGTTGCCACTTGGTGAATGACAAGAGTTAGATAAATAATATAAGATTAGGCGCAAAGATTAAAAAGTTTCCATTTCTTTATGGAGGGGTTTGCTAGTCTTTAGCTGACTTAAGTTGGTTCTTATAGTATAACTATCTGCTGCAACACAAAAATATATTGCAATAATACTCTTGAGATAACTGGTTATTTTGGGGTCCTGTTTAATATTCTACTGAAATAGACCTATAATCTATCTCTGGGTTTTCAAGTTGCAAAGGAATTTGTGGAGTTCATAAATAACTGTCTAGCAATGAGTAGTCCTTTAGCTCAATTGTCTTTTTGATAGCAACAAATCCTTTCTAAAGAGGAAAACTGAAAATTCATCTAAAGAAGAGAATGGGGTCAAATCTAGAACCTAATCTGAGACTTAAGTATAAGTCAGGATGGGTTTAATCTGTTTTGTATCTCCCTGCTTGACTTAAAACACACACACACACACACACAGTGACAATCTGTATACTAGTTCAGGTTGAAATGCAACCATAATTTCCTGTACCTTTATTTGTTCTAATGTGAAAAGTTAGTTTTAGGAGAAAAAGAATTTTTTTTACATCATTTGTTACTATCTCTGATTTAGCTAAATATATTTGTGACTGACAAGAAACATAAGTAAAAGGCGCTGAAAATGTCTCTGCTAATATGTGATGAAAAATCTTTATCCATTTGCAGCCTCATATTAAGTGTTTAGAATAAACAGTTGGAAAATACAAATTGAATTCATGAATGCTTATGAAATTACTTTCAAGCCACAAATGTAAAATTATGTATAAAAAAGTGAGAGCAGCATAATACTATACAATGGGAAGAACACTGGACTGGAGGTTTTGGGGACTTGAACTCTGTCTGGCCTGCATAAACTGGCTGCAGGGTAACATCTCTGAAATGAAGTTTTCTTATCTATGAAAAGAAGGTATTCATATAGCTAGTATTTAAGATTACTGAGCACTGATATTATGAAACAGTGTCTAGAATATTATCTTGCATTTATAAAATATGTTATTTTTGATAACATCAAAATATACTCTCATATTAAATATTATACAACGATACAGCTACATAATATGTATATCATAGAAAGCTTTAAAGAAGGTATGAGTAGAAATGACTAATGTAACAATCTAACAACTTGCCAGTAGTTCAACTAGATGATGTAAAAGTAGTCATTTCAGATATTCTTTCTTTTTGTTTTAATGGGAGACTAGAGTTTTACTGCTACCCAAATCAGTCTCTCCAAAGATTCAGAGGCCAGGGTTTTTAAAAGATAGTTTGGTGGGCGGCAGAGAATGGGGTGGTTAGAGAATGGGGAGTGCTGATTGGTTGTGTCCAGATGAAATCATAGGGAGTCCAAGCTGTCCTCTTGTGCTGAGTCGGTTCCTGGGTTGCGGGGGCTGCAAGACCTAATGAGCCAGTTCACAGCTCTGGGTGGTGCCAGGTGATCCATCAGGATGCAGGTCTGAAAACTACCTCAAATGCCAGTCTTTAGTTTTACCATAATGATGTTATCCATAGGAGCAACTGGAGAGGTTAGGAATCTCACGGCCTCTGGCTGCATGACTCCTGAGCCACAATTTCTAATCTTGTGGCCAATTTGTTAGTTTTACAAAGGCAGTTGGTTTGATCCCCAGGCAAAGAGGGATTTGTTTCAGGAAAGAACTGTTATCATCTTTGTTTTATTTCAAATGTTCATAAGTTCAATTGGTGACAGTGTTATCAAAAGCCTGTAAGTTAATGAAGAATGAGCAAGTAGGTCTGCATGGTCAAAATCAAATGACAAAATCTACTGAATGCAGAGTGCCAGCTACCAACCACAGATTCCAGATCTGAATCTCATTTAAACAAGCTGTATCTGCACAAGGGTTTCTCATCCAAACCACTGTCAACATTTGGGGCCAGGGATTTCTTCATCATAGGGGAGGATATTTAGGATAATCCCTGGCTTTTACACCACTTGCCAGTAGTATCTCTTGGGTGTGGCAACCAAACATGTCTCCAGGCATATTCCAAGGGTCCCTAACGGACAAAATCATCCGCTCTGCCACTTGAACAACAGTGATCTAAATAATCTATGCAAGCATTTTCCTGAGTATATTCTAAGAAACACCAATACCCTGTGTCACTATGTCATAGATATTTTAAGAAAAAT